CATGGCACACAGGCCTCAGGTGTGTCCAATTTGCCGACGACCCTCTGCTATGCCCACTTAAAGTACCTGCACAGAAAGACAACAGTCAAGGTGGAGTTGGTCGTCACACTAATTATATTATCTAATTCTTATTTTTACTCCTATTATTACTACACTAACTAGCCTTTAAAACAGTCTCAGTCTGCCACTCTGCATTCCACTGCACATACTGTATGAGCATGTGACAAATAAAGCCTTGGAACATGAATTTTGCATTTGTATTACTCTGTTCTTTATCTTGTAAATGTGTGGTAGACCACACATTTACAAGATAAATGTGAAATTGAAATTGATGCTGTTTAATAAAACAGCATCAATTTCAATTGACTAGCCTTACAATGACCTTTAGATGATACATTCTTGTCATTTTAGTTTCATGTCTAAGTTTTGATGTATCCCAACAACACAAAGTATTTGCAAATAGTCTTTCTGGGTCCCATGTATCACATGAATTGTAGTTCCTCTTGTGGCCACTAGGTTACTGCACAGCCTAGCACTAAATATATGGGGAGTTAGGGAGTGTCCTGCTGCTACTTAAAGATACACTATCAAGAACACCTGGGCAATCTCATTCAATCCAATACAGCGGTCTCTCTTTAAAACAATAATATGCAGAAATAAACTATTGTATCAAGTTTTTATTAATTAGATTATATTAGATTATTATAAATATATAGCTATAGATACATTGATTTTCTGATTAGTCCCATTTTTACAATATTAGTATTTACAATACAAGGCCCCTTAAGATCCGAACCCAGCCCAAGCTCTCTAAGAAGACGAGGAAAAACTCCAGGGACAAGGAGAAACCTTGGAAGAGGCAATTCAAAGAGAGATCCCCTCTCCACGGACGGCTGGGTGTTTGAAGCAGTAGTGATGTCAAAGAACACTGACACAGCGACAGTGACTGAGTTGAAGCCGGCGGCCCATATAACATTATCAGCTGCTGGCTTCGACGTGGACACTGTGGCCATTCAGCCTCAGTTCTACTGCTTCAAAGTAGGATGCAGTTAGAGCCAGACATTGGAACCACAGCAGCATTAATCATGGAGGAAGGGGAGCTGGAGGTCCATCTGTGGTCCAGAGAGGTCCAGTCTGGATCATATCACCCAGGAGTGGTGTTTAAGTGTCTCCAGGGTAGGCCGGTCCTCTGGGCGCTTCTCCAGACAGCTCAAAATAAAATCCTGGCAGTCTGGATGTTAAAAAAAAAAAAAAAAACAGGAATCACATTTTAATACAAACACTGTGGTGTATGTGTGCTTAATTCCACTGTATGTAGGTGTTTATGACTTACCATAAGAAAGACCATGTCTGTTTTCTGGGTCCTCGTTGATAATGTCGAAGCTGTTTGAGAAGGGGAGACATCCATGCAACATCCCAAACAGCACTACACCGAGCTCCCAAACAGTAGTGGGTTCGGCCCTGTAGCTCTGGCAGAGGAACCATTCGGGGCTGGTGTAGTCGAAGGTTCCTACAATACACAAATCACACAGATACAAAGTTTAATGGTGAGGGACGAAGGTAGAGGCCTGAGACAGTAAAGGTTGGTTTGGATTCTAGAGCAGGACTTTAAGAAAGACAACCTACCTTGTTTTGTAGTGTACACTTCTTCTGACAGAAATGTGCCACAGCCAAAGTCAATAATTCGGACTTGTGGGACATCAGAGCCGGTTTCAATCAGAATGTTGTTCAGCTTGATGTCCCTGTGGAACACACCACTGGACTGGACTTCAATCAGAGCATCCACCATCTGTTTGGTTATGGTCTGAGGGAGAGAGAAAGAGATATGAAGACTGTGTGAGATAGTGGGCGTGGACACACAAACAGGAAAAACACAAAAATACATATGGTATTAGCTACTCACTTTAGCCTCATTCTCCTGCAGGTGGGACCCTCTAGTTTCCATAAAGTCTATGAGGTCCATGCAGGGTACTGGTCTCTCCAGAATGAGGATCAGCTCGTGGTTCAGATCGTACCAGTCCAGTAGGGCCACGGCTGCACTGGTCCCTGCAGCTGCTGATTGGACTTTCAGCAGCAGTGCCACCTCCAGAGGGACCTTGCACATTCTGCCATCCAGAAGCTTTATACAAAGAGTGAAAAAGGAAAAAAGACAAATAATAAAACCTTCACGTATACATACATCCAAAAGTAGACAATATTCTGACTGTTAGATAGTATGAGGTACAATAGGGACATGTGCACATTCCCTTTAGTCAGTATGAAGAGTTAACTGTCAAGAAATGTTACTCAAATTATTTGAATAACTTAGATACTTGTCGGCATTCGGATGAAGAGCAAATCACTAACCATTGGTGTGCGCTTAATGCCAAACTCGGCAATACGTTTTATGGCAACCTACAGGACAGAAACACAGACATTTGATTAGCTTATACTATGTACAGATACATGAATCATAGATTGTGCGTGTGTGCTGTATGGCAAGTGTATGAGTCTTACTGGCAGACTATCGACTCTGCGGTAGCCAGCAAAGACCGATCCGAAGCCTCCTTCACCCAGCAGTTCTCCCTCCTCGTACTTTCCTTTAAAGGCAGCTGCAAAAACAAAATATAAACACAAACAATTTGATTATACTTGATCACAACTTTCACTGACTGCACTTATAAACTCCTAATAATAACTTTTATTTATTTAAAATTGAATCCTACTCCAATATAAATCCAAAATTCAAGGCTGAACCTCAAAAGAAAATGATCCTACACTTCCCAAAGTGCAACTTACTACCATCGTTTATTAGACTTCCATCCTCATAAATGACCATTTCTTTTAAATCCTATTGATCAGGGTTATTTGCTCAGACTTTGGTCAGTATACATTATACAATAGTCTTCACAGGCTGAATAGGACTCCTCGTGAAGAGTAAACTCAAGTATTTCTATCCCATCTTACCACTGCTATCACGGTAGGCAGGGTTTGTTGACGAGGAGGTGCCAGGTTTGTCATTGAAGGAAGCCTGAGTGGTGGCATGGTAGCTGGGGCCGTCAGAAGGACTGAGGCTCTTTCTGCTCCTCTTCCTGGGTCCCTCTGTCTCCTCGGACTTCCTCTTTCTGTTCATCATCCATTGAAGTTCAGCACTGAAGCTGATGATGCTGGACGTGGATGTCCTAGCATCCTCAGTGGACGATTCAGCTGGATTCAGAATGTGAGGAGTTAATAGCTTATCAGACTGTGCACATTGGTATTTCAACTAATAAGAAACATTTATCTGTGGACAATTCAGATGTGTTAACATACTTTGATGATTTCTATGCTCTGTTGACTTAACTGAGAATAAAGTTTGAGGATTTAACTTAACTTGCTCATACTCAATATAGGCTTTGGTGAATGGGTTGAATTTAAATACCCTGAGGTTTTACTTCTACTACCTAATAAAATATACACAGATATAATCAATCTTTTATTTCTGTCTCATCTAAACTGTGCTGTCAGTGTACACTGAGGTAGCGTCACTGGATGAATGTCCACTAAATTCCTGGCTATAGCTCTTGGAGGGACTTTGACTTGTCCTCCTCCTCTTGCTGGCTCTCTCAAGACTCTTGTCAGAGTTTCTTCTGAAGGTCGTCTTTCTTCCATCTAAACTGCAGCCTCCCACTGCATAGATGATGGGGTCAGTGCGGCGTCCTGCAAGTACACAAAAAGATCATGTTGTTGGCTGCATGTAATTATAGGGTATATTTCTGCAATTTCCCAGCTTGGG